TCCGTTCGTCCACCACACACCCCTAACCTATCGAACCCGCAACTTTCCCCCTCCGGCTCCTCTGCCCGAAAACACGAAACACCGGGAATACTTTCCCGGATGTTTTCCCCCCCTTCACCGGTATCACCTACTACCGCGTTAGGGCACACCGAACACCGCGTATTGCCTTGTTATATTTTGTGATGCTTTGTTTGCTCTGTATTCATTATTTCTTCCCCCTCTTCTCTCCGGTAGACTACGAGACCGACGCTGCTGCTGACCAGTTCGACTACGGAGTTGACGACCCCTCTCTCTTGCCAGAGCAACCAGGCAAGCCCCCCCCTTTGATCACCAGATATCGCCTATTCTACTCTATACTGCTTGCATTAGAGTAGTGTAGCATGTTACTGCTTTCTGTTATACCTATCCTGATGCATAGCCTGTCCTTGTTACTACTGTTGATACCTTTAACCGCAATCCTAAATACTTAGTATAGGATGCTAGTTTATCATCATTGGCCCTACATTCTTGTCAGTCTGCCTTGCTATACTATCGGGCCGTGATCACTTGGGAGGTGATCACGGGTATATACTATACATACATACTATACAGATGGTGACTAAAGTCGGGTCAGCTCATTGAGTACCCGCAAGTGATTCTGACGAGGGGGCTGAAAGGACAGGTGGCTCCATCCCGGTAGAGGTGGGCCTGGGTTCCCGACGGCCCTCGACTGTTACTTTGTGGCGGAGCGACAGGGCAGGTTGAGACCACCTAGGAGACAGGTGGGCCTGGCCCTGTTCGGCGTTCGCGGATACTTAACACGCTTAACGAGATCTTGGTATTTGATCTGAGCCGGCTACGAGCCTATACGCACTAACCATCTACGTGGGAGTAGTTATGGGTATCCCGACGTCGTGGTATCAGCCGAAGCACTTCAGACGTCAGCGACGGAGCGGCGCGCGCCGAATTGGACTGGAACGCCACTAGGCTAGGTCTGCTTTCGGCCGCCCTCGCAACGTGCAGGTGTGCTCAGGGCGATGGGCCCAGACCCCTGCGCTCTTAGGTTTAGACCGGCGTGCTGGCCTCTCTGTTGTGCCTAGGTGGGGCTGCGACGTGTTGATCTTCCGAGGCCGGGCATGACCCAGGAAAGTGTGTCCGGCCAAATGGGATCGAGCGTGTTGGGCTATGTGGTGCACCCCTGCAGGGAAGTTAATCTATTCGAATAGCCGTGATCTTCGGTAACAGGACGACTTGGAGTTGTACCTTGACCTTATGACAACTAGAACCGGATACTTAATAAAACACACCCTTCCAAGTGCCAGATACAACCCGGTGATCGCTTTTCCGCAGGGCGACGAGGAGAGGATCGCCGGGTAGGATTATGCTACTCGAGATGCTACTTGGAGATGCTACTTGGAGATGCTACTTGGAGGACTTTAATCTACTCTCTTATACTTGATGCAAGACGGAGGCTGCCAGAAGCGTAGTCTTCGACAGGATTAGCTATCCCCCTCTTATTCTGGCATTCTGCAGTTCAGTCCACTGATATGGCCTCCTTACACATATACCCATGCATATGTAGTTTAGTTCCTTGCTTGCGAGTACTTTGGATGAGTACTCACGGTTGCTTTCTCCCCCCTTTTTTCCCCCTTTTCCTTTCTACCTGGTTGTCGCAACCAGATGCTGGAGCCCTGGAGCCAGACGCCACCGTCGACGACGACCCCTACTACACCGGAGGTGCCCCTACTACGTGCAGCCCGCTGGCGACGACCAGGAGTAGTTAGGAGGATCCCAGGCAGGAGGCCTGCGCCTCTTTCGATCTGTATCCCAGTTTGTGCTAGCCTTCTTAAGGCAAACTTGTTTAACTTATGTCTGTACTCAGATATTGTTGCTTCCGCTGACTCGTCTATGATCGAGCACTTGTATTCGAGCCCTCGAGGCCCCTGGCTTGTATTATGATGCTTGTATGACTTATTTTATTTGTAGAGTTGTGTTGTGATATCTTCCCGTGAGTCCCTGATCTTGATCGTACACATTTGCGTGCATGATTAGTGTACGATTAAATCGGGGGCGTCACACCTGCGTGGGTCAAGTGTGGGAAGGGACCAACCCCTGGGTGGGCTGGTGCGCCTCCCACAAGAGGCCCAAGGCGCAGGGAAAGGGGAAGGAGGGAAACCCTAGGCTCATATGGGCCTAAGGCCCACCTAGGGCGCGCCCCCCCTTCTCTCCCCCTCTGGCCGCCCCCCCAGATGCATCTAGGGCTGGCCGCCACCCTTAAAGGGGAAACCCTAGATGGGGGCGCAGCCCCTCCCCTTCCCCTATATATAGTGGGGGTTTTGGGGCTGCTAGAGACACGAGTCTCCCTCTCTCTTGGCGCAGCCCTATCCCTCTCCCTCCTCGTCTCTCGCGGTGCTTGGCGAAGCCCTGCTGGAGTGCCACGCTCCTCCATCACCACCTCGCCGTTGTGCTGCTGCTGGACGGAGTCTTCCCCAACCTCTCCCTCTCTCCTTACTGGATCAAGTCACGGGAGACGTCACCGGGCTGCACGTGTGTTGAACGCGGAGGCACCGTTCTTCGGTGCTTAGATCGGATTCGGCCGCGATCTGAATCGCTTCGTGAGCGACTCCACCGATCGCGTTCTTGTAACGCTTCCGCATCGCGATGTTCAAGGGTATGAAGATGCACTCCCCTCTCTCTCGTTGTTAGTATCTCCATAGATTGATCTTGGTGATGCGTAGAAAATTTTGAATTTCTGCTACGTTCCCCAACTAACACTCCAGCCAAACATGTTTGGAAGGCATCGAGTCACGGGAAACACAAGTTGAATGAGTTTCTTTCCAACTTGGACCGTGGTAATTTCTATAGGCAGCCTACCAAGTTGTTACAGAGTACAGAAAACATGAGTTTCTGGAGAACATTCTTGTTCGAGGCTAAGGATTAAAGTGTAGGTTATACTATATGTACTTGAAGATTATGAAATATGGCAGGAAAGGGGATTCAGTACGATCACTTGGTCAGGGACGTTTGGATCTGCTCCAGCCTTCTACAAGCACTTGACGAATCCGATGTTGCCACGGCGGCCGGACGCTAACAACAGTGGGATCACTCCACTTAATCCACCGGCATCAACATTAGCCCCACCCTAGGTAACATTTCCACGCAGGAAATCAATATGCGCAATTCATGTTGAAATTCTATGGAACTCTAGCGATCCAAGCATTGCAAGTGCTACTTCAAAAATAGCCATCACGTCGTGACAATGCAAATACCTAGTATGATTTATGCAATCAACGGGAACTTGGAGATCAATTAGCAGAAGATAAAGTATTGTAGCACCTCAGTGAGCAGCTTCATGCATTCCATGGAGCCACCAAGAAGCGGTGAGAGATGGGACCAGAGGTGTGAATACACGGCTGGCGAATTTGTTCGGCTGCAAAATTGCAAACTGGTCGGCCTTGAACAAAATGCACGCACCATACGAACGACCGGACGTACATCACCGTGCCACGGATTCTCCCCTCCTTACACGAATCCTTGTTCTTCCCTGTCAACAGTCACATGCAAGCAGTGGACGATCGCCGGATCCCAGATCCCATAGCTAGGAGAACCTCCCAGCTCCCACGTGCGCATCCCGTAGACGCCTCCTGCCCCAGGCGCTCGATCCCTGGATCGGGAGAGCCACCCGACGCTGCACCGACGACCTCGCAGCCTCCCGGCGCCGGTGATCTATCCGACGAAGGTGGCCAGTAGTGGGCGGTGGCAGCAATGACGCGCGAGAGGGAGATGGGGAGAAGGGAGATATTCCAGCGAACCAGAAACGAAAAGGGATGGCGATCTCGGACCTTTACGGCGGCGATCTCGGATCTCGGCGGCGGTGAAGGGCTCCACGATGGCGGCGTCGAAGGCGGCGAAGGGCTCCACGATGGCAGCAACGACGTGCTTCACGGTCGACCTAGCAAATAGATCGAGGGGAGCCGTGTCGTATGTTTTTTTCCTGATGTGCGAGAAGGCATTTTTACCTGGATTGATAGCCTTACCATACCTGATGGTAATTTAAATTTATTACCATATTCGATATTTCCCGAGTTATGGCCTTACCATATCTGGATTGATAGCCTGTGGGGTAATTAAAATTTATTACCATATAATTATCATATTCAAAATTTCCTAAGTTATGGCCTTACCATACCTGGATTGATTTATTACTATACGTGGATTAAGATTATCATAAATACGTTGGGTATTGCCAGCTAGACGAGAAAATAGAAAAACCGGTTGGAGGGGGTGGTGGGAGGAGAGACGAAAAAAAACCAGCAATGGGAGGGGGTGATGGGAGGAGAGACGAAAAAAAAACCAACGATGGAAGGGGGTGGTGGGAGGAGAGACGAAATAAAACCAGCAAAAAATAACCGGCGGACTATTCACCAACTGCTCCATTAGGAGTAGAGACAATTAGCCACGTGACTGTCATGGGCCAGCCTTGTCGAATTGGGCCATTAAACTAACAGATTCTTAAAAAAAGGGCATTAAACTAACAGAGCCCTTGATTTTCCAGACGAGGACCTTTTTGCAAAAGGAGCGTTCGGTCATCTTCGCTCTAGTCGCCCCGCCTTCTCCCCTTGCGCCGGGCTCAAACCCCTAGCCCCCGACGAACCCGACCTAGGGTTTCCGCTTCCAGCATGCCCCGCTGCTGACCTACCAACTTCCATGGCGCTGGCATCCTTGTCCCTGCCATGAACACGGACGCACAACTCCGCTTTAATTGCCGCAAGCGCTGCCTACCGGCTGACGGTCGCCTCGACGACCACTGGCGCGGCCAGCAGCGCAAGCGCCGCGGCGTCCGCGTCCTCGTTCCCGACTGCTTCCTCGTGCCCCCGCCGGAAGCCAAATCCGCTGATTTCGACATGTGGGACTACATCCGCAGCATCCCGGACATGTGGGACAACGGCCTGAGGCTGCTTAAGGACTGGGTCCGTGCGTCCAAGGATGTGCCGCAGGATCCGCCGGATCTCACGTATCTCACCAAGAACAACGATGTGAAGCCAGGGCGCGTGGTGGGGAGTTGGAAAATAGAGAACTCCAGGAAGGTCGCCTTGAAGGCGGTGAAACCGCGTTGGAAGGATCTCCTCGAGGAGACGAGACATAATGACAAGAGGTTGCGCGAGATCGGCGACGAGGTGGCCTTTCTGGAGAAGACGCTTGAGGAGCAGAGGAAGCTGGCTGAGCCGCCTAAGGAGGTATGTTTTGTCATCGCCTTTTTATCTTGGTATATGCGGGGTGAGTAGGAAGATTACGTCCATGGACGAGAGCTCTGTAAGGAAACCCACGTTGCAATAGTGGACAATTGATAAAGAGGGATATGCCAACTGGATTTGCATTTTATTTTAGTGTTGCCCCAATCGAAAATTAGTGTTGCCCCAATCGAAAAACATGCATTGAATTTACCAAAGGAATGGAGAAGACATAGCCATGTAAGAAATAGCGCGCAATCTGAAGGTGTCAAATCTGGTTTAACTGCTTCAAATTTTAAAAGAGGCAACCAGAGAGGTCCTCTTTGTTTTTTCTCGTTAATGGGTGGCTGATTGACCTGCTTGGTTGCGACAACCTTCTATTCTCCACTAACTCTTTGATTTATGTATGTTGATCTGTCTTCAGGATCTGTCTCAATTCTTTGTACCTCTAACTGCTGAAGATGAAAAGGAAGTTCAGGATTGTTTGTATGGTAATGGTTCAAGGTACGTTTGATGATTTGAAGCTTTCCTATATACTCCCTCTGTAAAGAAATATAACATTGCCCCTTTTCACTTACAGTAGCAAAGTCCTGGTGCTGCATGAACCGTCTAACATTGAGGTTAGCAGGGAAAAATTTCGGTGTTTGAGACCACATGGCTGGTTAAATGATGAGGTAAATATTCATCTTAAATGTACTAAACCATCTTCACTGATTGCAAACATGTAAGCTTTACACTGATATTTTCATACGTAATGGGGAAAGTGATTCCTGTTGTTTTCAGGTCATTAATTTGTACCTTGAATTGTTAAAGGAGAGGGGAATAAGAGAACCAAAAAGGTTCTTGAAATGCCATTTCTTCAATACATTTTTTTATAAGAAGGTTAGAATATATGCACCTTGTGTTTTCTCCAATTGAATCTGCAGTGTCATATTAAATATTGCATATCTTTTCTGTGTTCTATAGCTTTATTTGTTTTTGCATTTCTTCTAATCACATCCGACTTAGGATTAGTTGCAATATGCTTGATGAGCGGTTTAGATACTGTGGTTAGCGCTCGAAGGTTGCTATATTGTACCTTGGTTCTGGCTCAATTTATGGACATGCATCAGCTTATCACTTAGTGTATGTTCCATGCTGCTTATGCCTGTCACTTTATAAATTACTAGTAAGATGTCCGTGCTACGCAACTGAATCACAAAAGACGATGTTGATCATTATTTACTTAAATTGTACTCCCTCTGTAAAGAAATATAAGATCGTCTAGATCACTAAAGTAGTAATCTAAACGATCTTATATTTCTTTACAGAGGGAGTAGTCAAGAGTGAGTACATTGCTACAAAACAATAATAAAATGTACCGATATATTGATCAAAGTGATGATGTTATATTGTTGATCAATACACGTCGAGCACAATCAAACATACGGTTTCCAACTAAAAAACCCTTCTTCGAAGCCAAACGGTTTCTTCTCCATATTCACCTTGAAGGAGGACTTCCCGTGCTTTATCATTCCTTGCTCTATCCTATAGTGCATAGAGCATGTGACAAAGAAAATCTTTCCACACGCACATTTGGCAATTGCAATGACAATCCAAACAAGTCTCTGTCTTCAGCTCCTCTTCGCTTAACATGGGCTCCACCCTACAGCCCACACACCATTCTCTGCTAGAAATAGTGACATATTAAGCTTCGGGAGCTAGTTGATGCAGCGGTGAGGAGAGGTGTTGATATCCTTTGCGTCCAAGAAACCAAATGGAGAGGACAGAAGGCGAAGGAGGTGGAGGATACCGGCTTCAAGCTGTGGTACATGGGGACGGCTGCAAACAGAAATGGCGTAGGCATCTTGATCAACAAGAGCCTCAAGTATGGAGTGGTAGACGTCAAGAGACGTGGGGACCGGATTATCCTGGTCAAGCTGGTAGTTGAGGACTTGGTTCTCAATGTTATCAGCGCGCATGCCCCGCAAGTAGGCCACAATGAGAACACCAAGAGGGAGTTCTGGGAAGGCTTGGAAGACATGGTTAGGAGTGTACCGATTGGTGAGAAGCACTTCATAGGAGGAGACCTCAATGGCCACGTGGGTACATCTAACACAGGTTTTGAAGGGGCGCATGGGGGCTTTGGCTATGGCATCAGGAATCAAGAAGGAGAAGATGTCTTAAGCTTTGCTCTAGCCTACAACATGATTGTAGCCAACACCCTCTTTAGAAAGAGAGAATCACATCTGGTGACTTTTAGTAGTGGCCAACACTCTAGCCAGATTGATTTCATCCTCTCGAGAAGAGAAGATAGGCTTGCGTGCCTAGACTGTAAGGTGATACCTGGAGAGAGTGTTGTACCCCAGCATAAGCTGGTGGTTGCTGACTTCCGCTTTCGGATTCGTGTCCAGCGGGATAAGCGTGCCAAAGTCGCTAGAACGAAGTGGAGGAAGCTCAAGGGGGAGGTAGCTCAGGTGTTCAAGGAGAGGGTAATTAAGGAGGGCCCTTGGGAGGAAGGAGGGGATGCGGACAATGTGTGGATGAAGATGGCGACTTGCATTCGTAAGGTGGCCTCGGAGGAGTTTGGAGTGTCCAGGGGAAGGAGAAGCGAAGATAAGGATACCTGGTGGTGGAATGATGATGTCCAGAAGGCGATTAAAGAGAAGAAAGATTCCTTCAGACGCCTATACCTGGATAGGAGTGCAGACAACATAGAGAAGTACAAGATGGCGAAGAAGGCCGCAAAGCAAGCTGTTGGTGAAGCAAGGGGTCGGGCATATGAGGACCTCTACCAACGGTTAGGCACGAAGGAAGGTGAAAGGGACATCTATAAGATGGCTAAGATCTGGGAGAGGAAGACGAGGGATATTGGCCAAGTCAAATGCATCAAGGACAGAGCAGGCCAACTCTTGGTGAAGGACGAGGAGATTAAGCATAGATGGCGGGAGTACTTCGACAAGCTGTTCAATGGGGAGAATGAGAGTTCTACCATTGAACTGGACGACTTCTTTGATGAGACCAGCATGCGTTTTGTGCGGCGCATCCAGGAGTCTGAGGTGAAGGAGGCTTTAAAAAGGATGAAAGGAGGCAAGGCGATGGGCCCTGATTGTATCCCCATTGAGGTGTGGAAAGGTCTCGGGGACATAGCGATAGTATGGCTAACCAAGCTTTTCAACCTCATTTTTCGGGCAAACAAGATGCCAGAAGAATGGAGACGGAGTATATTAATACCAATCTTCAAGAACAAGGGGGATGTTTAGAGTTGTACTAATTACCGTGGAATTAAGCTGATGAGCCATACAATGAAGCTATGGGAGAGAGTCATTGAGCACCGCTTAAGAAGAATGACAAGCGTGACCAAAAATCAGTTTGGTTTCATGCCTGGGAGGTCGACCATGGAAGCCATTTTCTTGGTACGACAACTTATGGAGAGATATAGGGAGCAAAAGAAGGACTTGCATATGGTGTTCATTGACTTGGAGAAGGCCTATGATAAGATACCGCGGAATGTCATGTGGTGGGCCTTGGAGAAACACAAAGTTCCAGCAAAGTACATTACCCTCATCAAGGACATGTACGATAATGTTGTGACAAGTGTTCGAACAAGTGATGTCGACACCGATGACTTCCCGATTAAGATAGGACTGCATCAGGGGTTAGCTTTGAGCCCTTATCTTTTTGCATTGGTGATGGATGAGGTCACAAGGGATATACAAGGAGATATCCCATGGTGTATGCTCTTTGCGGATGATGTGGTGCTAGTTGACGATAGTCGGACGGGGGTAAATAGGAAGTTAGAGTTATGGAGACAAACCTTGGAATCGAAAGGGTTTAGGAGAACTAAAACCGAGTACATGATGTGCGGTTTCAGTACTACTAGGTGTGAGGAGGAGGTTAGCCTTGATGGCCAGGTGGTACCTCGGAAGGACACCTTTCGGTATTTGGGGTCAATGTTGCAGGAGGATGGGGGTATTGATGAAGATGTGAACCATCGAATCAAAGCCGGATGGATGAAGTGGCGCCAAGCTTCTGGCATTCTCTGTGACAAGAGAGTGCCACAAAAGCTAAAAGGCAAGTTCTACAGGACGGCGGTTCGACCCGCAATGTTGTATGGCGCGGAGTGTTGGCCGACTAAAAGGCGACATGTTCAATAGTTAGGTGTGGCGGAGATGCGTATGTTGAGATGGATGTGTGGCCACACGAGGAAGGATCGAGTCCGGAATGATGATATACGAGATAGAGTTGGGGTAGCACCAATTGAGGAGAAGCTTGTCCAACATCGTCTGAGATGGTTTGGGCATATTCAGCGCAGGCCTCCAGAAGCTCCAGTGCATAGCGGACGGCTAAAGCGTGCGGAGAATGTCAAGAGAGGGCGGGGTCGACCGAATTTGACATGGGAGGAGTCCGTTAAGAGAGACATGAAGGATTGGAGTATCGCCAAAGAGCTAGCTATGGACAGGGGTGCGTGGAAGCTTGCTATCCATGTGCCAGAGCCATGAGTTGGTTGCGAGATCTTATGGGTTTCACCTCTAGCCTACCCCAACTTGTTTGGGACTAAAGGCTTTGTTGTTGTTGTTGTTGTATTAAGCACGCCACTTTAACCTAACCTTTACTATCAATAATGGAAGAACGACAATGCGACAATACCAATACTTGTCCCCACGAATCTGTGCAATGGGGGCGTGACGACTACTGACTGAACCTGCTAGCACATTTCCTATTCGGTCACCCGTCCATGTCACGCATCGTCATCTCTCCATGTCTGTGAGCATTATACGAAGTAGCATGCTGCCCATGGGTAGACATGATGGTGAAGGCATCTCAAACAAATTGATATTGTAGCCTTCCAAATCACTTAATTGTATCTTGCAGCATAGAATTCTGCAATATTGCAAGTGTGATCAGCCAATACCAAATATTGCTAAAACAGTTTGCCAAGTGCATTATAGTCCCACAAACATATCACAATCATCGGCCAAGAGAACGGACATGAAAAAAAAAGGAAAACGTAATTAAAAGTACTTGATATAAAACTTGAATACATAAGAGAGTATATACAGGTTCAAACCGTATCGTATGCACATGCATAATTGGCACTGGGAAAAATATGGTACAAAAAAACACAGAAAACACAAAAGAGATAACACACAATGTCCGTTGGTGCACTAAGGTAGACTACAATGAAAATAATTTTCTACCATGGGAGACAGATGCACACGGCCGGATAGGATGACACCTGTGGTAGACCGTACCAGCTAGTCCATCCTCCACATCTTAACCACACAAAGCACATTTGATAGGTTCTGCAATATATTTAGGCAAAAGGGGGAAATGTGCCTATAGAGGGTCCATAGTATATACCTAGACAAAGGAACAAACAATTGACAACACTTGCAATGCATTTTATACGGAATGCACACTAACTGATGGAGATGTACCTATCAAACAAAGCTGACAGACATTTTATAGAACTATACAATGACTTGCAACTTCCAATTTTGATGTCAACTCAACAATAAAAGTGACATCCTTGTCCAATCTTTCCCTAATTATAAATGTGCTATTGCTTCTGGTCCTCCGTCATGGAAATTGCCCCAGAAGTTGGCAACAATTACCCACCATGGCACCGGTAAGTGAAGAAAAAACGATTGGTTTTTATTTCAAAATCGCTGCCGGTTTATGTTCTTATAAACAGATACACTTCCATAACATATCATGAACGCACAAGTGGTGTGATGGCTAAGGGCGCTGTTGTCCGCACGGGAGACCAGGGATCGATCCCTGGTTCTTCCCTTTTTCTCCCCTTTTCCCTCTCTTTAGCGCACCACCTCCTCCGGCACATGGTAATGGGCCGACCCATGGTCGTCGAGCCCCCTGTTTTTATGCTTTTTATTTACTTTTTACTTTTTGTTTTTATTTTTCCTTCTCTAAATGAAATTCGGGATTTTCAAAAGTATCAAATTTCAACACGTTATGTGTTTTCTAAAAAAAAAAGAAAAATCATAAACTGTTTGTGAATTCAAAAAACATTTGGAAAATCATAAAAATGTTCATGATTTCAAAAAATTGTTCACATATTTCTTACCAGCTACTACCTCCGTCTTGGGTTTAAAGGGCCCGAGAGCCACCAAGCCTCGTCCCTAATTATTAGGTCGCATGCACAAGCACTCGTTTCTCTCATTGGCCCAGACTTTTAGCAGTTAATGCGATTGAGAGCATGTGGTGCGCGTTCCTAAAATCCAGCTCCAGCATGCACCCAGAATCAGGTAATCTGAACCCAATAACGCGGCCAGCCAATGCATGCGCTCCTTTTTACCGGGGCAGTCCTGGGGCGTGCGCTCTAATTAAATGTGGGAGGTTAAAAGCTGGAGCTTTAACCGGAAAAGAAGTGCTTGGTTGGTTAGTAACGAATTTTAAGGAAGACGCGCCTTGGTATTGAGGATTTGGCTAAGGGGTCTTTTAAACCCGGACGGATATAGTAGCTAGGAAAGAATGTGCAAATCCAAATTATGAACTGTCTAATTATTGAACATTTGCACTAACTGGCACTTCCAGAAAACAAACAAATGCAATCAGGTCGGCTTGAGAAGTCTGCTATGGAAGAAGCACAAACAAATATGTTGTCTTTTAAGGAAGAATAAACTGCTAACTGCACATCATCTACTGTTTTGGTAGTTGCTGCTCCCGTATACACATAATGCAGAGAACAAAACTGCGCTCTGTAGTTTCTTGTCAATATGCACATATTCAGAGAGAGATAATTAACTGCTCTATCTCGTATATGCTCATACGTGCATGCTCAGAGGTCACCGGCGTGGAGGGTTTCAGCGGCGGCGCATCGGTGGGGTCGTGCTCAGGCGCAGCCGTGTGCAGAGGAGGCCGGGGCGGCGGTCAAGGCGGCTGCGGAGGTCGTGGCCTCCCGCCGACCAGAGGCGGCCGACCATGGGTGTGGATGCGGCAGCAAGGGCCGGCCATGGACGTGGAGGCGGCGGCGCCGCAGCAATGCAAGCGGCGCGGGGAGGCGAGGGACGGCCAGTTCCTAGGGTGGCGGCCCCATCTCATCTGGTTCCGGCCGGATCCGGAGTCCGACGGCGGTGTGAAGGCGGTACGGCGGCGAGCTTCTGGCGGCCGCGTGACATGTACTTGAGAGAGAGATACGAGGGAAGAGAGAGGGAGAGGAAGGAGAAGCAGGGCGGTGGTTTGGAACTCCGGCAGTCACTGGCGTCGGCCGGAGGTGGCAGGGTCGGGCGCGAGGGGGCGATGCTCGGGAGGGCAGGGGAGGACAAAGCCCGGTCCACATGAGGGAGGCCCACCCACAGGTAAAAACCACCATTGACTATCGCCACGTCAGAGTTAAACCATCCAAGGACTGATTTTACCTGGTATGGGATTTTGTTTAGGGGGTGAAGAGCAGAAATAAAGATCAAGGGGTTATGTGAACCACCAACTTTTTTCAGGGTAGTAAAATGAACTTTTTTCTATACTGTGGAAATATCTATTTTTAAGCTAAATTATACTTATGTCACTTTTTCGTGACCATTATAGATACATCTTTGGTCATTGATATTAGGAAGTTTGAATATACCATGGTTGCCCTCCTGGGTTTCTTAATTTGAACTTTTACTTGGGGCATCTGTTTGGAATACATTAGATTGCCCTCCTGAGTAGTCACAATCAGGAAAGTTTCACTTGATGCATGCCATGGACACACACATTTTTGAATGGAGAGTAGTTCTCTGTCAGCCTTATTTGGTTCCTTTTGTTGTGTTGTTACTTGATTTGAGACCTTTGATTGGAAATTAGACTAGATATCATGCATTTCGGCCTTGATTTTCATTTGGATAAAATTGATTACCATCTAATTCAGCCCTGTTTATTTTCTGAATTATTGCTCAGCTTGCTTGTGGAAAAACTGGATATGACTACAAATCTGTAAAAAGATGGACTACCTCCAGGAAGTTGGGTTATGAGCTCATTGAATGTGATAAAGTAAAGTGGATGCTGGGTTCTTTAATTTTCTATTGTTACTGCACGTGCTCTTTGACATGCTTATTCTTATGTTTAGAATTTACTCTGCAGATCTTTGTCCCCGTACATCAAAATGTGCATTGGTGTTTGGCAGTTATAAACATAAAGGCGAAGACAGTACAATATCTTGATTCTCTTGGCGGCAATGATCTTCGTGTATACGAAATGCTGGTAACTTCTTTTTGTCATATTGTTTTCTTCCAGAAAAGACACCCAAAGGGCATGTTAGATCTAATAATTATCAAGGAAAACAGTAGCTAGTACAATAGAAAGACAATTGGTAACAGTAACAATAACAACAACAAAGCCTTTAGTCCCAAACAAGTTGGGGTAGGCAATTGGACACAAAATGACCAGTAAAATAAAACCACATTGAAAATAATACGGAGAACTAGTCATCTTCCTTCGATAGTACGCCACCCTCCGGATATTGAAAATTGCGCTGAACCGACAACAAGGGGAACAGACACCTGCAAACGCCCTCGCCATACTAGGCTCTGAAGACCACAATAGCTACTCACTGCTTGAAACGAAGAAACCGCTGAAGGAACATCGTTTGGGGCATCACCCCACGCAGCACAGGCTTACAATTCTTCACTACGAGTCCATAGGGTTGGAGAAACCGGATGACAAATCAAAAGATGCCGAAGTCGCCACACCAAGATCCAACCAGCTGCTTCTCTTGATTGACACACCAACTGCCAAGATCCATAGAGAGCCAATGGATATGGTAACACCTACCCTCATAGGCCCTTTGTCGAACAAATCGAAAGAGGATGCCGAAGTCGCCACACCAAGATGCAACCAACAGCTTCCCTTGATTGACACACCAACTGCCAAGATCTGAAGAGCCAATGGATATGGCAACACCTACCCTCACAGGCCCTTCGTCGGCGTCAAGTTGGATGACGTCGAGGTAGGGAGAGGCTGGAAAGATCCAATGCGCCATCATCACCACTCGCCACCACCCGGCCAATGTCACCAGGAAACCAACCTAGTAAAAAAAACCTACTAGAACTAAGAAAAAACCAAGTGGACAGGCCCTCACTCCTCTTGCCGCCGACGAGGCTGCCGGACGGGCGATAAGATGGGTACCGTGGCAGCAGTGTGGAGAAGGCTTTGGATGACGGATAGGGTTCGCAGGAGGGAGTTTTGCATTAGAACTGAATTTTATATACTGCCTCTATTCTTTTTACTTCCTAGAATCCTTGTTGTCGAACTTTTTAAAGATTTCCTTGCAAAGAGAACTTTCTAAATTTGGCGTTCCCCGATCACAAGCAGAACTTTTCAAGTTTGACTGTTTAGATTTATTAGTTTTTAGACTAGCTATAAAATTGAATCATTAGATTTATCATTGAAAATTATATGTTAATTCCACTAATATATCATAATGTGAAGTTCAAAAGTAGCATGCCAAAGACTTTGAAAAGTCATACATGATGTAAAAAGAAAGCAGGGAGTTATTTTTTAGATGAAAAGGGCGAACAGCTGGCAGTAGATGAATCAAATGCACCCTGGTTCCATTCCAATTTGGGAGTGCTTAATTTTTTAGAAGGTTAGTTAACTATATAAATAGCTTTTTGTAGTTTAACTTAAGTAAAACTTTTGGTGCACCTCTTCCAAATGTCAAATGTTAAATTAGGGGGAAACCATATGTTTATGGGCCTCTGCACATGTGCTATGCTCTGGGAGAATTCACCTGATCTTGGTTCTTTCTATCTGCTAGAAGTACTAAATAATACTATCTCCATTAGGCATTTCCGTCTAATTCTTGCTTATAAATTGAGTAATGTAATGGTGCTTCTTCTGTACTCCATATACAGGCTAGATATATTGTAGATGAAGTGAAGGACAAGAGTAATAAAGAGATTGACATAAGTTCTGGGACCAAAGAATCTATTGATTGTATTCCTTTACAAGAGAATGGGTACGTCTTGTTTACACTAATGATCATTTAATGCGTAAATTCACTATTTATGGGTAATATCCGCTTTCAGTTCCTATAACAATAATTTGTTGGGTATTAGTATCATTTACTCCCTCCGATCCAAAATAAGTGTTGCAGTTCTGAACTAGTTTTGAACTGGAGTTAGTTCAGAACTGCGTCACTTTTTATGGATTGGCGGTAGTAGTACATATGCACCATATATGTCCTTTCTTTGAAATCCATGTTTAGTTGGCTGGTCGTGCACAAAGTACTCCCTCTGTCCGGGTTTATTAGGCTTCTCAGCATCACAAGCATGTCCCTTTTTATAAGGCCTCGTTTTGGAAAGGTGCATGCATGCAACCATTTCATTGGTTGCATTGAAAGTCATTGTTGTTGGTGCCATGGCTGGGAAATTAATACACTTCATGTGTGTTTTTTCATTGGCTGCATGCATGTGAGAGAGTGCATTGAGAGTGAAATGGAAGAATTAATGTGCGCAAATTACGATATGTCTTGGTCTAAGAGAAGTTGTCTTTAGGCCTAAGGCTGGTCACAGTGGGGAGGAACTTAGGAGTAACATCACACACTCCAATACAACTTTGCTTATGTGGCACGTATTTAATGAAGAGAGAGGTGCTTGTGGTAACTAGCTAAGTTACCGGAACATCACACACTCCAAGAAACAATGAGTCTATAACCTAATAAATACATCGTTGCATGACACTACATAGATGTTCCTACCCACTATGGAGGTAGTAACATAGTCTAGGGAAGTGTGAAGTTACTAGCTTATGTTCTTGCCCATTGTGACCAGCCTAATAAACCCGGACGGAGGGAGTATGTTTTAAATTCAAGTATTGATACTTGCAGTTATAACAATGGGCAAAGATTAATTTTGATGGGTCTTCAATTATTTCAGGTTTGATTGTGGTATGTTTATGCTCAAGTACATTGATTTCCTCAGCAGAGGAGTCAGCTTATCTTTTGGTCAGGTGAGTAAATTTGATCTGCCAAAAATTTAGCAGACTGGATTTGTTTTTGGGAATGGAGATGCTTATTCTAGATTGATGCATACACATTCGGGCTAAGGTATAAAATGGCGGAAGCTGGTCTATCTTAAGGTGATTATATGGTATGAATTCTTATGCACATTAGTTTTTTGTCAACTGCAGGAACACATGGAATACTTTCGGAGGAGAACAGCTAAGGAAATCTTAAGACTAAGGGCTGACTAAGTTTCCTCTTTTTGTTGGAAAATAAAGACAATTAAGTTCTGCAAATATTAATTATTTGGCCATTCTCCAAAACTGTGCCTTCACCTTGGATGTTGCTGGCAAAGATAGAAAATGTCCATTCCCGTGAGAAACTGAAGAGTTGTCGGCCGTGATCTCAAACTGCTGGCGTTGAAGGATGCAGATGCTAACAAATTTCTGTAAAGCTCTTCTATATATGGATTTGATTGGCAGGAGCAGAAAAAAGGAAAGAAATCTTGAATAGGGTTTTGAGATTTTTTTTTTTAACTTAGAGAAGCCTAGTATTAAACCAGTGGCATCTTCCTTCTGTTAACTTGCTTTTGTTTCAGAGTTAGAAAAATGGGTTTTCCTGTTTTGTTAGTTTCGATGGCAAAAAAATCTGAAGTTTTGGTCCGTGTAAATTTCTGTATCTATTCACCGCAGTGACATTTAATCGCTCATGTAGAGTTTTGCTAATTGTAGTGGCAGCGCTGTTTTCTCTGGCACCGTGGCCAAAATATCAGTCATCGTATCTCTTTGTGCTGTTTGCTCTGGAGTTCATGTTGCCTGTAGAGCCGGAGCTCCAGTATTGCCGCTAAAAGGAAAATACCTTTTTCTTTTCAAACGGTCAATTACAGGAAAACTGTACTAAAACCACATAACACATGCGCAATATTGGCCACGGCAGTGCCAAGTTACATGGTCACTGACAAAAACTTGACACCCGCCTCTGAGAAGAATTATGTGTCGTAGCCATCTACTCCCTCCGTTTCAAAATAGATGACTCAACTTTGTATTAACTTTAGTATAAATATTTTTTAAATGAATTTTAGTATAAAGTTAGTACAAAATTAAGTCATCTATTTTGAAACGAAGGGAGTAGGCGTCATCGTCATCACCTCACTCCGACTTCACCATTAACAAACGACATCACCTTGTCCCATTGAGACTCGACGACTCCGACTTACCATTAACAAACAACAACACACCGTTCATCACAGGGAACGCCCTAACCCACGCGTATCGAATCATTACAACTTCTGGGTACGCCCCAAGCCACGCGTACCGAATCACCACAACTGGCCACCACAAAGTCGAAGAGGAAACTCCGATTTTGGCGACTTGTTTTAGTGTGAAGCACTAGGCTTTCCTCGACACGGCAGCTCAGACTTCAACACGTCTTGGAAAAGCGATGACCTAGCTTGCACCACGCCCTGCTTCACAACGCTACTCATCTCTGGTCGTCGTCACCGCACACCTCGCACAACCAACAGTCTCCGAGGCAGCCTCTGGTGGCCAAATTTGGTGTTTTGACCTTTTGCTCAAACTTCAGCCGGATCTAACCCCGATTTAAAACAATTTTGAGATTTGACCCTTTTCCTACTGCCAGGAAACCCGACGATAGAGTTACGCAGGCTACCGCCAAGGAGAGGGGTGGTAGCTTAATGGCGGCTGCCGTTAGCCAACCATATTGAGGCTGACGTGGTGTAACGGCCTTACCGCCATAGGTGACATCGGTAGGCTAGCTAAGGCTACCGTCAGGTGCCTCGGCGGTAGGCTTGTGCCAAGGGGAACACGCTCGGGGTTTCTGTGACGGGGAACGCGTGCCCCCTTGGCGGTAGGCTACCACATCCTACCGCCAAGTGGTTTGGCGGTAGGGCGGGGTTTTGTGAGGTGAGTACACGATTTCCTGCGGTAGGGTCTGTAGGGTCTCACACCCTACCACCGTGGAGCTCGGCGGTAGGCTGTACGAACCTACCGCCGTGGTGTCTGACGGTAGGATCCTATGCCACTTATTCTTCAAAGAGGATCTTAATCATTTCAATCACAGATATAAATGATAGTTCAGTACAACACAACAAATAATGTTTGCAATTCAAAATGTGATGATCTCACACATTGTAGATAGCAAATTGACATATCAAATAGGTTCAAAATGTGATGATCTCACACATTGTAAATAGCAAATTGACATATCAAATAGGTTCAACATAGTTTGAAAGTAGCAAATCGATATCGCCAACAAAGCTTAAGAGCATCTCCAATAGACGGTCCAAATGTAAAAATACCTAACTTTTGGACCGTCTGAGGCAAAAAATGCTTCTCCAACAGACGGTCCATATGTAAAATTTTTTGGACCGCAGCCTCCTCGTGATGTAAAATGCAACACCTCGCGGTGCAAATTTACATCACGAGGTGCATCTGGTCCAAAACCAGCCGCCGCCCGCGAACGCCCAACCATCACTTCATTTCCTTTCCCGCCCGCCCGCCCGCGTTTGCCCGCCCGCGGCCCGCCCGGCCGCCGCCACCCCCCACCGTCCGGCACTGCCATGACCGAAGGCGACGACCCCGCCGCCTTCTCCGCCGCTGCCGCAGCCGGTGGGCTGATGATGATGATGATTGCTTACCGAAGGATGATTGCTATGATGATTGCTATGATCCCTTTAATTCGTTTGAAATATCCCTATTTGATGATGCTTGCTATGCTTGTGATGCCAATATGAATTATGCTTATGGAGATGAACTTGCTATAGTTCCCTATGTTAAACATGAAATTGTTGCTATTGCACCCACCATGATAGTCTTATTATCCTTTTGAATTCTCCAAACTACACTATATCGGAGAAGTTTGTGCTTATTAAGGATTATATTGACGGGTTGCCTTTTACCATTGCACATGATAATGTTGATAGATATAATATGCATGTTATTGCTGCTCCTACTTGCAATTATTATGAGAGAGGAACTATATCTCCACCTCTCTATGTTTCCAATATGATAAAATTGCAAGAAACTGCTTATACTATGCACTGGCCTTTACTTGGTGTGCATGAATTGTTCTTTTATGACATGCCGACGCATAGGAAGAGAGTTAGACTTCGTCATTGCTTGATATATGTTACTTTGTGCTCACTACTAAATTACAAATCATTGTTAATTAAAATTGGCTTTGATATACCTTGGGATCCGGGTGGATTCATTACTTGAGCACTTTATGCCTAGCTTAATGGCTTTAAAGAAAGCGCTGCCAGGGAGACAACCCGTAAGTTTTAGAGAGTCATTTATTTCAGTTGAGTGCTTTTATATAGTTTAAAAATAAATAAAATAAAGAGGGGAACCCAAAACTTTTCAAAAAGGAAAGTGAAAGTGAGAGAGACAAGCATTGTTGAAGTGGGAGAGCTCCTTGAACTTTGTTCATGCTCACCGAAACTTTGTGAATCTTTATTACAGAAACTTTTCAATAAAAATAATTATCCCCTTGTAAAATTCCATTGTATTATAAAAATAATGTGCCAAGGTTTGCCTTTAGGATGTTTACAATGCTTGTTGGTTTGTACGGTGCAGGACAAAAACTTTGGCTGTAGTGTGCGATTTTACATTTTTTACTGGAATGTAAAATGGTTCTGATTATTTTTGCACTGTCTTGCTATACAAATTGTTTATTTTCCCTATTTTTTGTAGAATTTTTGGGGTACCAGAAGTATGGTGAATGTTCAGATTGCTACAGACTGTTCTGTTTTTGACAGATTCTGTTTTTGATGCATAGTTTGCTTGTTTTGATGAAACTATCAATTTCTATCAGTGGATTAAGCCATGGAAAAGTTATATTACAGTAGACACAATGCAAAAACAAAATATGAATTGGTTTGCAACATTACTTAGAGTAGTGATTTGCTTTATTATACTAACGGATCTTACCGAGTTTTCTGTTGAAGTTTTGTGTGGATGAAGTGTTTGATCGAGGAGGTCTCGATATGAGGAAAAGGAAGAGAGGCAAGAGCTCAAGCTTGGGGATGACCAAGGCAACCCAAGTAAATATTCAAGGAGACTCAAGCGTCTAAGCTTGGGGATGCCCCAGAAGACATCCCCTCTTTCGTCAACAAGTACCGGTATGTTTTCGGATTCGTTTCGTTCATGCGATATGTGCTAATCTTGGAGCGTCTTTTGCATTTAGTCTTCACTTTTCTTTTATGCACCATGCTGGTATGAGATAGTCCTTGGTTGATTTATAGAATGCTCTTTGAACTTCACTTAAATCTTTTGAGTATGACTTTATAGAATGCTTCATGTGCTTCACTTATATCATTTGAAGTTTGGATTGCCTGTTTCTCTTCACGTAGAAAACCGCCATTTGTAGAATGCTCTTTTGCTTCACTTATAATTGTTAGAGCGCGGGCATATATTTTGTAGAAAGAATTAAACTCTCTTGCTTCACTTATATCTATTTAGAGAGATGATAGGAATTGGCCATTCACATGGTTAGTCATAAAATCCTACATAAACTTATAGATCGTTGAATATGATATGTTTGATTCCTTGCAATAGTTTTGCGATATAAAGGCGGTGATATTAGAGTCATGCTAGTGGACGACTCTGGATTGTAGAAATACTTGTGTTGAAATTTGTGATTCCCGTAGCATGCACGTATGGTGAACTGTTGTGTAACAAAGTTGGAGCATGAGGTATTTATTGATTGTCTTCCTTATGAGTGCGGTCGGGGATGAGCGATGGTATTTTACTACCAATCTATCCCCCTAGGAGCATGCGCGTAGTACTTTGTTTTGATGACTAATAAATTTTTGCAATAAGTATGTGAGTTCTTTATGACTAATGTTGAGTCCATGGATTATACGCACTCTCACCCTTCCATCATTGCTAGCCTCTTCGGCACCGTGCATTGCCCTTTCTCACCTCGAGAGTTGGTGAAAACTTCACCGGTGCATCCAAACCCCGTGATACGATACGCTCTATCACACATAAACCTCCTTATATCTTCCTCAAAACAGCCACCATACCTACCTATCATGGCATTTCCATAGCCATTCCAAGATATATTGCCATGCAACTTCCATCATCATCATATACATGACTTGAGCATTCATTGTCATATTGCCTTGCATGATCGTAAGATAGCTAGAATGATGTTTTCACGGCTTGTCCGTTTTTTGATATCTTTTCTATTCTAGATCATTGCACATCCCGATACACCGTCGGAGGCATTC